CGGTATAATAGCGTCGTGGAACGTAAGAGGATGTTGTAGAGTAGACAAAAGGAACATGATTGAAAAGATTTTACTGGAACAGAACGTACATATTGGCCTCCTACAAGAGGCAAATACAGAGTGTACTTCAATTGTTACGGAAAATTTTAGGTGGCATGTAATGAAAGCAACGGAGAATAAGCAGAGAGGATTGGCAGTTCTTATAGGAAAGTCAGCTGAGATAGTAATTGGTAGCATCGAAAGGATAAGCAACAACGTATTGAAATTGAAAATTTCTGTAGGAGTCGGAACCGCTCGTAGACAATGTACCATTTTTAATGTGCATGCTCTTAATAAGGGTTTACCAAAATTCTTAACTGAATTGGGCGGCGCCCTGTTGAAATGTGTATATCTGAATGAGGTTCTTGTCTGCGGAGATTTCAATTCTCAGTTAGGTTTAGCCGATGTGGGCGCGGATGAGAAGCACTTAATTGGAAAATTTGTGGGTCATGAAAAATCAAACGAAAATGGAATTCAACATAAATGTTTCATGCGTACGCACAAGTTGGCTGCAAGAAATACCATGGCTCATCCATGATTACTTCAAACATGGATTTGCAATGGAAAATCATCGCAAATTGATCACGTTCTGAATACTACCTCCTCCAAGATTTTCGTAAAGAAATTGAGAGGACATTTAGTACAGGAATTTCAGAGCGATCACAAATTGATAACTTTTGAAATTCAAAATAGAGGAAACCCTGTATCAAAAGCTAACAAAGTGTTTACGAAACAAAAATAGGACTCTACGAATACTCTAGGCGTTTGCGACGTAATACTACTGCAAGATGATTATCTGAGGAAAAAATACCAAGAGCAACTGACCAAGGTGTCTATAAACGCTGAAAACCCGTTACTTATCAATTCACACCCTGTCAAAAATTCCAAACCCTCCGAAGCGAAGGCGAGCGATGGCCAAATTGAAAAAGATTATCTTTTGGAAAAAGAGACAACAGCACAACTACAGAAGTATTTATGATGAAAAAGAGCGTAAGGAGGAATTTGAATTTTTTTAAAACTTGAAGCAGTATAAGCCAGGAGAGAGAATTAGAAGAACTTTCAAATATGTTAAAAAAAATTCAGATGAAAGAGGCCACAACTGAGGAGATCCGACATCTCTTTTCAGCATTTCTTGGAATCACCATCGATCAACCTACTTCCCGATTTGATTGGAAATCCAAATCACGAAATAGTCACGGAGGATCCCCCGGATACGTCTTGTATAGATACAATCATCAAAGGCTGTAAGAATGGAAAAGCAGCTGGTGCGGACGGCTACAAAGCGAACTACTGAAGTATGCAGACGAAGGTACCTTAGAAGAATTTAGGAACCTTTTGAAAAGAGTGTGGGTAGAAAAAAGCATCCCAGACAGTTGGAGACGTGCTACAGTGATCATAGCAAAAAGGCGAAGCAAGCGAAAGATTTTCGAAAGATCGTATTGGCTAGCGTATGGTACGCAATTTATGCGAGTTGGATTTTAGGGGCCCTGATACAAAACACATCACCTATAGGATCACACCAAGCAGGTTTTCTTAACGAGCGATCAACAATGGATCATATATTTACAGCTCGGCGTATTCTAGAGGAAAAGTGGAATGCAGGTGATGACCTGATAGTGATGGCTTTGGATATTGAGAAGGCTTTCGATAACATAAGTCTTTCTGCTCTGCCTAACGTATTGCTGACAAAAGGTGCCTCCGAAGGAATTGCAAACAGAGTGATTAATTGCATCAATGCAGAGGAGCAACAGGTGCTGTGGAATGGGCATAAAACTGCACCTCAAATGAGGTCTAGAGGAGTGAAACAGGATGAATTGGACGGAAGGTTAAAACTAAATCAGACGGACAGGTTAATGTTCCCTGTATATATATGCGGACGATATTTTAATTATCGTTAGCTCATCAGAGGAGTTAGAGAAATTGTTGCCAGTGCTAGAATACTATCTTGGCGAGGTAAACCTTAGGATTGATGAAACTAAATGTCAAGTCATGGTAAGCACGCCTACTGGAAAAGCACCAAAGGAGCTAAAAATTGGAGATCGCATTTTAAAAACAACATCATGCATACATTATTTGGGAGTTCCAATCACTTCTTCTTCTTCGCATTTCAAGCTTATTGCATATCGCAAATTAGCTTTTTGGGTGCTCTCAGCTTAGTGTTCTAGATGCACTTCCATAGTTATTAATTGTGGGCTTTAGATGCCTGTACTATTTTTGCATTGGTATAATTGTGTGGCAAGTCCAATCATACTTCTATGCCCAGGGAAGTCGAGAAATTTACCAACCCGAAAAATTCCTAGACTGGACCGGGAATCGAACCCAGCCATCTCCAGCATGGTCCTGCTTTGTAGCTGCGCCTTTTCCAACTGAGCTAAGATTGGCGCAAGTTCCAATCACAGAACGCTTAAATAGAAAGCTGACGACAAGAAAACGATCTAGAGACGCTATTGTTGTCTGGAAAGTTATCTTAGACTTTCTTAAGGAAAGAAAGCCATCAGAGAAGTTGGGTTCATTACTATATGAAACTGTAATAGCTCCGACGATGGTGTATGGCTCGCAAGCCACGGTTCTTACGAAGCGGTCTAGGAAATCTTTAAGAAGGTACCAAAAGCAAATCTACGGTCAAATTAAATCACTTTGTCAGATGGAGGATAACTGGTCTTCAAAAGATGGTCCCAGATCGATAACAAAGTGGATCCGGATTATTCAGTTAAGATATTGGGGACATTTGCTCAAGCTGGCTGCAGAGTATAGATTACCACACAAAAAGAGGGGTAGACCTGCTTTTACTTGGTGGGATACGATTGCTCGGAATATGTGGAGATTTGAGAAACATACCAGTTGAGGAATGGTACGAATTGGTAGACGACAAAGAAAAACTGGCTACGAAACTCAAAGAAATATACAATTTGCCCAAATCTGAAACAGATGACGAATGAGGATACTCTCTATCTAACCACCAGCATATAAAACTCAACAGCATATTCACTGTCTTTCGGAGAGTGCATCGCTAAGATTTTGGATCACAGCTCTTTCTGCATGACGGGTTTGACATTTTTGCTCCACAGTGTTGATGATGATGATGATGGTCCCAAGTCTTACCCCTACAAAGGTTTGAGCTGGACGATTTATCTTTAAGATAATTAAATATGACATTTTAACCAGGTTGGCAAACAAAATCGAACTGGTTTCAGTTACAGATATAAATTCCCTCTAGAATTTACAGTTGCTTCACAGCAATATACATAAATGTGAAAAAGCTTAGGCGTCCACCTCTTAGTTCGCCTTTTTGTCCACCTAGAATATTCATAAGTATTACAAGCAATCAAGAGTTAATGAACAATCAACAAAGCATCCTATACACTAGCAACCCCGCAATGATGCTATTATAATTTTCAGCAATGTCAGGAATGCTCACGAGCCCCCGACATTCAGCCAGAAAACTTACTACTAACTCAAGGTATCTTCCAAATAAGCTTCAGAATTGCATTTTTTTTTATCAAATGTTAAATTCAGTCCTCTATATCTGTAATACGCGCGCGAGGCTCAACCTTTGTAGACTACTTTTTCAATTAATCTACTATTAAATCAAATATTTAAAATCCATCATCACCCTCATGGTGAACAGAAATAGTTTTTGCAGTGCTACAATAATTATTGAAAAAGTCGTCATGACAGCTATCCATATAAAATAATCCGTTAGAGATAACTTCGTCAAGATACATAATTTGTCAATTCATAAAAAAAAAATCACTGGATAACTGTTCAAAAGACAGTTTCAACGTGTGAAATGCAGTGTCTTTTAAATACTGTAAGTGTTGCTGAACGTTTTATATGTCGAGGCATCGAATTGAGAGCATTTATTCCTTTATAATATAATGAATTTTGTGAAGCACAAGTCAAGAAATGTGGTGTTCTTATTTCAACCGCGTTTCTAGTATGATATCTATGAAAGTCACTTCCTCTTTCAATTCGATCACACAAATATCGAGGCAGCAAACCATTAATTACTTTAAAAATGAACACCATAGTCAAATATACAATTCTTTGCTTCACCGACAACCATTGTAAGGCGTCTAGCATCAACAATGAGGAAGTGAATCGATTACATATCAAAATCAAACGCATTATTTTATACTGCAAGCGCTGAAATCTCGATATTTGTGTTGCATTGGCCAGAAATAAAATGTAAGGGCAAAAGTCTAGATGAGGAGAGATGATTGATTTGTATAGCTGTATTTTACTAGCAATAGTTAAATCGTTTTTCAGTCGACATAGAATTCCATACTTCTTGGCAATTTTCTTGATGACATTGTCAATGTGAGAGTTGAACTTAAGTGTGCCAAGAAATTTAATCTCCCGAACGCGATCAAAAGTCTCATCATCAATTACAACAGAGACGTTCCCATTCACTCGATTCCGCGAAATTACAATAAATTTAGTTTTACTTGTATTCAATTTCAACTGCTTGTATTTCAACCATCTACTTAGATAAAGCAAATCTTCATTCAAGTGTAAACGGCATCATTTAAATCCTTAGCTGCAATGAATAACACAGTAAGGTTTTTGATCTAATTTCCGTCCTACTAATTTCCGTCCCCGCTTAACCTCTCATTTTTGAACGGGTTTTAAAAGAAAAATTGAATATTTCTGTCAAAGATGACTTCTAAATTTATTCACCTTTCCATACGTGCCATTGGATTTGCTAAAGAGTCATAAATTGTTAAGATATTGTTTAAAATCTAATACTGCTTCTTGATTCTAAATTCGTCCTACGAGTTTCAATTCCTCCTAACGCATTGAAACGCCATTAGATTTTCTTCGTCCTACGGATAAACGTAGAAAAGGGGGATTCGCTAGGAGCGCTTCTTTTGTTTTGAGGACAATGAGCGTAAATATTCATACTATGCACTCTAATAGGATTTATGTTTTAGCTAATGAACTAACGCATCGGAACAAACCTAAAGCGTGTCCACGATGAAATTGCCACACACAAAATTGATTCGCAAAATTCGAGTTTTCATCCGATTGCCATCAAATTTTCAGGGATTGAGAAATAACTATTAAACTTCATTTTACCATTTTACTCGTATTTTATTTACAGTCCATACGCAAATGCCCAAACCTTGGCCTTAACCCCGGCCATAAGATTCTGCACAACCTGTGAATCAACCGTTTTTTGCATGTAAACCCATACTTTCTTCAGTTCCTCGACTGTCTTCACTACCTTAGATCGTTTAAGAAGGTGCTGCTTCATAATCGCCCAGTACTTCTCGATGGGGCGGAGCTCCGGAGTGTTGGGAGGGTTGAACATTTTCGGCACGAAATTGACCTAATTGTCCGCATACCACTTCAGCACGTCCTTGGAGTAGTGGCATGAGGCCAAATCCGGCCAGAAGATTGTTGGGACGTTGTGGGCCTTCAGGAGAGGAAGCAGCCGCTTCTGGAGGCACTCTTTTATGTACACCTGTCCGTTCATCGTGTCCTGGGTCACGAAAGGTGCACTCCGCTTCCCGCACGTGCAGATGGCTTTCCAAACCAGGAATTTCTTCGCAAATTTGGACATCTTCTGAGTGCGGACATGCTCCGGAACGCTGAACTTATCCTTGGCCGTGAAAAACAGGTTGCCGGGGATCTGTTTGAAGTCGGCCTTCACATATGTTTCGTCGTCCATGATGCAGCATTCAACTTTCGTCAGCATGTTGAGGTACAACTTCCTGGCACGGGTTTTGGCGGACTTGTTCTGCTTCTCGTCGCGATTAGGGGCCTTTTGTACCTTGAACGTTCGAAGCCCAGCCTTAGTTTTGGCCTTCTGGACAAAACTTCGGCTTAGGTGCAGTTTCTTAGCCACATCCCTAACGGAGGCGTTCGGATTTCGGTTGAAGGCCCCAACTACGCGGTTGTGATTTTTGGTGTTGTACGGAATACTTTTTCCTTCACTTCTGGGCTTCCGATCGGTGGTCAACCGTTCCTCGAACCGCTTAATCACTCGCGACACCGTGGAATTCGCGATTCCCAACGTTTTAGCGATGGAACGATGCGAGAGATCCTTGTTCTCGTGATGAATGCGCAAGATTTTATCACGCACGAGCTGTTCTTTCGACTCCATTTCCGCGAGTTTTGATCACAGGAGACAGGATGTAAATAATGCACTATGAACTACATCCACCCAAATTTTCATTGAATTCCACCCAACGGTTAAAAAGTTAGAGCAATTTCATAGTGTGGCAATTTCATCGTGGACACCCTTTATTATTGATTTGGGCACGGTGAAATCATTGATATTATTGATCTTTTCTGAACGATAGAACGGTAATGGGTGATTACGACGAAGTAGTGCTCTACCCTATCATCTGCAAAAAGATTCATGTCGCAAAATCGTAAGACACGTCGCAAATCATTAATATACATAATAAATAACAGGGGCCCTAATACACTTCCCTGGGGCAATCCAAGAATATTTCCCACGGGACTGGAAACAGAATCATTAAAACAGTCCGTTGAGTTCTGTCAAACAAATAGCTTTCAAACTACTTACATGCAGTACTCGTAATTCCAAAGCGCTTGATTGATCTTATCAATAAGGGCCTAGAAACTGTTTCAAAAGCGCGTTTAAGATCCAGAAAAACAGCAACAATCGTATCTTTACACTCCAAGTTATTTTTCCACTTCGCTAATACCAAATTCAACGCGGTTTCACAAGAATGACCTTCCCGATATCCCGATTGTTCTGGTATCAACAAACTATTACTATTTAAATACTCCAACAGCTGGCCTTTAACCAGAGTTAATGTACACGTGCATCCATCTCGCGTGATAGAGACACGCTTTCTATAAGATCGTAGGTGCCTGGTACATTTCTAGACGTATTATTTCGCGTTTCTTTTTTGTTCCTACGTGCCTCATTCGTGTCACATGTGCTGTGTCTCATGAGCTAAGCTCGGCGAGCTCCAGGGAGATCGGCAGCGTACCTATGTCCTGCGTGCATGCTAAAAGTAGCTGGTTGGTGCTAAAGAAAACAACAGAGAACTGTTGATCGAGCAGTCCTGCACTGAAAAAAGTTTTCACTTAGTTTCTATTAGGAACGCACATAGTATTTGTCCAAAAACAAAAACAATGATTTTTACCTGAATATCACATAGCATTAGAAATTCTATATGAGAAATCACAAAGATTTCATTGGACACATAACGTTTATGTGATTTAGTGGTGCAATTTCCAATTATGGGATCACATGAAAGTTATGTGAAATTCACATGGATATTTTCCACTGGTTATGTGATTTATTTTATGAGTGTGTCACATTCTCGTGTTGCTGGTGCAACTGATTGATTTCAATCAGTTGGTATTCAGTTTTTGAGGGTTGAGAGATTGTGGTTTTATAGAAGTATTTCAAGCGGAAGATGAGTTAAACGATTACGAACCAATTACCGGCGGGGTTATTTGTTACCGATCCATGCGCATGGAATTTTCATGGTTCAAAATATTGATTTAGCTCCACCAAGTTCAAACGATTTGAGTGTTCACTCGGATGTCGACAAAAGCAGGCCACTCTCGATGTGTGCTACGCGATCGTCTGTTTTCTCGGCAGCAACCATTGTGTGGTCCTCCTCATTGTTCTTCATCAGCAGTTCTTTCGGTCGATGCGTCGTCGACTTTGGAAAGCAACCGTTTCGTGATAAGTGTGTGAGTGCTGACCACGTTTTGCGTCCATTGCTGCAATGGACGCGCTCTGACCCTCGTTGGCGTACAACAATTTGCCATACAATGAAACTACTGGAAGCGGCTCCAGTTCTGATGGAGGAGGCTTTTTGGATAGCGGAAGATAAAGTGTTATTGTGTTGTACCTTTTGACTATAGCTTTAAGATGTATTGTATAGTGACCATGAATCCTCGGCTCTGTTAAGTTAATTCGGTTGAGCCTTATCAAATAAATTACTATACAAAAAAAAAAGCTCAAACGATTTCAAATCAGCTCTTGATCATTCTCACAAAATTTGTTCTCATTAGGATGCGAACTCATACTGCACTTGGCCCTTCGAAGTTTATGTGGGAATTGAAAAATTGAACGTTAGGATAATTAGTTAATAATTGATTAGGAAGAAGATGTTCTTCTGACATGGTTCATTTACTACTCAGCAGACAACATTGGAATAATAGGACAAAAAATCGAGGCTATTATGTCATAAGGGCAAGATGCAGTGTTGCCCTGAAAACAGCCGATTAATCCTACCAGCAAGTTATCAACTTGGAAATTAATTAATAACAAATTTTCTTGACATTCAATTAAAAAGTGGTTATGAACAAAGTTGTAGCTGGGAAATTTTCACGTAAGAGGGGGGGGGGGGGGGCTAGAACGATGAGGACAAAAAATACACTTTTCTTATAGTAATTCCCATATAAACTTCAAAGAGCCAGTGCAGAATCAGTTCGCCACCAAATTAGCTCAAATTTTGGGATATTGATCAGCCTGATTTGGATCCGATTGATCTTGGTGGATCAAATTGATAGGTATTTTGCAGCTGGCAGAGATCCAATCACTTAACGGTCAGTATCTGAATCCAAAATGTTTATTTAGTAGGCTCAATATCCTTGAAGCTCTGCAGAGCCGAAGGACTAAACAAATATTACAATGGAGATCTAAATCGATTTCCTATATTTTTTTGTGCTTGCAACGCATCGAATCTCGACAGATCCGCAAACCCTTTCTGCCGAGGATGCTGATATTCGTTTTTGCATGCTTTATCGGCCTTTTGAGGGCACGTCCATTATCAGCACTTCTTCATGCAGCACCTCTACCACTTCCTCGGTTGATTTGCTGGTGCTGTCTGACAATGCACCTACAGCCACTACACCAGGGTACGAACTGCTATCCGAGTTGCAAGGAAATTTGTAGTTCTTCGAGAAAGTTCGTGGTACTTCAGGGAACTTTTTTAAAGTTCAGGAAACTTTCTTGAAGTGCAGCTTTTTCTTTAAAGCTCAGCTAACTTTGTGAACTTCGTAGAGTTTCATTGAACTGCTTCGGTAACTCTTCTTCTTCGTACCTGAAAAAGTTATAAGACAACGACACTTCATACACCTCGCAGCTCGTAATTGACAGTATGGGCTGAATGAGGCTATTCATCAGTGTTGGAAAAGTTCGCGATATTTCACGAAGTTCACCAAGGGAAAAGTTCGCGAGTCATAGTGAGTTTTTGGGAACTTTTCCATCACTGCTATTCATACTATCGCTAATGTGATTAGTTACACTTATGCTTCGTTTGACTCTAATGTTCCGTTAACTGTTTTCACTAGAACACTGTCCTGATTTTGAATGTTTCTTTGGTATTATTATTATATTTTGTTTTATGCATTAAGACCAACATATGTCAGATGAATCATGAGCTAAATTTAGTGAAATTATTTGAAGTTCTGAGATCATGGAAAAGTTCAGAAAACTTCGTAGAAGTGGGAACTTTATATAAGTTTAGGTATCTTCGTAGAAGTTTATTGGGACCTTTTTATAACTTCAGAGCTTTGATGAAACCTCATGGACTTGACATAGTTCAGAGAATTCCGCACAAATTCAGGAAATTTCGTGCGTCGAACTTTGCGGAAAATCAACGAGAAACGTAGACGGGAAGCAAGCTTTGATGAAGTTTTGTGGACTGCGTAATAATTTGAGGAACTGCGTATAACTTCATTGAAGTACAGGGCATTTTGAAAAAAGTTCAGGGAATTTCGTAACGATAGAAAACTTCAGGGATCTTCGTTTCAGTTTAGGTAACTACATAGCAGTTTGTCAGAGATCTTAAAAATTTCAATGAAGTTCCTTAAGATGAAGATTTTGGACCATCGTTTAATTTCAAGGTACTTTGAAATTTGAGTAAATTTTCTAAAACTTAAGGAAATTTTGTAGATGTTCAGGAAACGTTGCATAAGTAACAGGAGATTCTTTCAGATATGCTCCCTAGAAAACCAGGAAGTTTTAAAAGATCAGCATTTGTTGATGTTCTTCTGATCTGAATTAGCGAGTTGCTGAAAAAAGGATGACTTAAGAATGTGCATAAGTTTTTTAATATCATAATTTTTCAAATGGATAGATCAACTTTCAACACGGTATTTTCCAAATTTAAACCACACACTCTGGCAACATGATTTGATTGGTTGATCTGTTGCAGGTTGTAGCAATGGCTGTACCACTTTCTGGTTTGTTGTAGCGAGATGGTGGCGCTTGGTGGTCACTTTGTGGAATTGGTGCCGATACTCAGGCGCTTCCTTCTGACACTGTTGGTATACAAAGGCAAGGTCGCCCATTATCTAACCGAAAAGGTTATTTCTTCTTAGCTATTACGCAGAGCAATGGTCAGCAGAAGCCACCTAGATCGTACCGTGCAAACCAGAAAGCGATTTGAAGGAACGGAACAGAAGGTCGGTAGACTTGGTGATATTAATAATTGGAATGGTAAATATATCACTGCACTGGTCTACACGCTCATCTGAGTTAAAGCCAACGATGCCCGCTCATGTCATTATTTTGCTGCAGCTATTTCTAGATAAACATTTCAATAGGTCCTATTGGCATTGAACGATTCTCTTCATCGACTTTCTCTTCCATTAATAACTCAACTTCAAAAGCATTCCCTGCTGTGTTTAACGTTCTAAGCACAAGGTATGAACTGCTGCTATCAAACTGTGTGGCAAAATGAGCACCAAATGCATTTGTGTAGGCGTGGTTATCAAAAGAGAAAGTGGATGAACAGAATCGATCAAAGCAGATAGGATCATTTGAAATGTTCATCGAGATTTAGCATAGATCACGCCATCACCCAGTGTGTCACCACTTCTGTTATAGAATTTATCTGAATGCTCGATCACATGAGGCACATTAAAAAAATCTGAACATTTTTAAAGTAATGGTAACAAAGTACAAGTGAAAGCGTATTGGTAATACGCCAAGAAAAAAATGTTCTGCAAAATTTTTTTCCACCCATTGAATTATCAT